TTATAACTTTACCTGTTAATCCAATGTAAAACCCCATATATAAATACCTTATAACTTTACCTGTTAATCCAATGTAAAACCCCATATCTAAATACTTTATAACTTTACCTGTTAATCCAATGTAAAACCCCATATATAAATACTTTATAATAACTTTACCTGTTAATCCAATGTAAAAACCCATATATAAATACTTTATAATAACTTTACCTGTTAATCCAATGTAAAACCCCATATCTAAATACCTTATAACTTTACCTGTTAATCCAATGTAAAACCCCATATCTAAATACCTTATAACTTTACCTGTTAATCCAATGTAAAACCCCATATCTAAATATTTTTTAACTTCTTGTTGAGTTCCTGTGAAACAATGCATGACAGTACTTGGAAGACGTTCTTGGTACCGTTCCAACACTTTCATCAGGGCACTGTGAGCTTCACGTTCGTGAACAAAGAGAGGTTTCTGAAGATCGCATGCCAACTTAACCTAAACATAACACCAAAATTAAATCACTACCTCACCATCTTAACTTCTATACATTTCATCTTTCACAAGCACTTCAAATTTGTGTTTAGTTTATAAAACCTTTTCTAAAAACTCAACTTTGAAGATATAATGGTCATGAAAATATTTAAAATAAAAAAACTGTTTTAAATAAATTATTAAATTGTATAACTCGCTCAGCTTATTTTACAATCATATTAACCAATAAATAAAAATATTCTGTCACTAGAAATATACTTTACTGGGAGAAATTTTGAGGTTCAAAATCTATTCGATACGTCAGAGCATTAAACATTGTTAAATCGCTTTTTTTTTTACTAAGAAAAAACAGAAGAAACAAAACTGTATTCAGTGACTGAGAATATTTACCTAATAAACTGTACTATTGGCAGCAAAGTTCTTACCTAAACTCTGAATACTGTTTACAACGGTATTCAGATTACTCGCTGATACAGAAGATTCACCCAATATACTTTTCATCCTGATTAATTCATTAAACCTTCAAGAAATATATATATATATATACTGTTGTGGCTTTCGCTTCTATAAAAATATACTTTTACAGACACAAATACGATCCCACACAATGGTTTGAAAGGTTCGCCTTTTGAGAGTGCTCAAGTAATAATTTTGTATTTTTGTCCTTTAATTAATTTTATAAAACCTGCATTTTTCTAACGTCACGAACATACTTTTAAACATATACATACATACACTAGATCAGCTGGTACATTGTATGGATCCCATTAAATAAAAACAATCGTTAACTTTCAAAGTTATGCACTAAACGTTCTGAAATCACCTGATAGACACCAAAGAAACTTATCATTAACATGGTTTTCAACTGTTACCTGCTTTTCAAACACCTCAATTTGAACATCTGGAGGAGAAAAGTTACGATTGAAGTCAAGCCCACATTCTCCTATTGCTACACATTCGGGATTGGAAGCGATTTCTTTCAGAACATCTATTGTTTCATCTTCCCATGACTTGGAATCGTGTGGATGGATGCCTAAAATAGATGTACATACCCATCAAAAATGTCTGATGTTTCAGAAGTTATCAAGTGTGGACTGTCTATAGCGGGTTTAATAAGAAAATAACCGCTACAA